TTTTTTTTTTTTTTTTTTTTTTTTTTTTTTTTTTTTTTTTTTGTGATGACGCAATGGTCTGCATCGTCCTCTGCCGCTTGGCATCCATGACTACACTCTTTTTGCCTCTTGTTGTAATTGTTTGTCTCGGTGCACTTCTTCTTTCTCTTCTGCTTCCTCTTCCCTCCGCTTTGGTAACATGTTCATATACAGCGCCACTTTTTTGTAATTCTGAATTAGGTTGAGTACATGTGCCATTTGCATTGGAGCCCCACTTAGGGGTTCCTTCAGATGTAGATACACGGAGGCAATTGATTTCCAATTCTCCTCGACCTTGTTCACAATATCATTCATAATTCGTTTGAGGAGTGATGTTCCTTCTTCTGAATTGGCCATGCCGTCTCGCAACTCTATAAGGTAAGCCTCGAAAAAAGAGTTTATCCCGCTGGGGGCGATAAAACCACTTGAGGGAAAACTGCTACCCACCTTATTGGATGACGCCGTTGTATCGTCAGTGCGGTTGGAGGGTCTCCCTGCTGTCGTTACATTAGACGAGGCGTGCGACATGTTCAACTCGTGTGACGCGTGCAAGCGGAGAATGGACAAAATGACGAACAGGGTGATGTTCTCCTTTCCCCCATGACGTACGAAATGTTCACAGTGGGGACCATGTCCTGAGTGGTTAGCGACTTGGTATGGCATGTGCGTGGCGACTTCCTTGTAGAGTGGACTGGACGCACCTGCAAAAGATGTGATCATCCCATCATTTGTAGAAGCGACCAACATGGAATCGATACATGGGTTCATATCAGTCACGTTGCTACTTCTATTGTTATATGCACAATGGGATAACGTGGTCTCGCTAGGAAGTAGCCCTTCAGAGGAGGCCACCACAGTGCAGCACTCACTTGCCCCTTGTGCATATTTCCTAACGACCAAGGGATACACATCAGTTAGTCTTGGGGAGGTTAAAAAGATTCTTTGTAATTCATTTCTTTCATTTAAAAGTAAATAATTACAAATGAGGAATTTTATTTTATTCAATTCTACTCTCATATGGTTAATTATTATTAGTGCTCTGTTCAGTAATTCCTTTTCAGGGTTTTTTTTTTTCGCTTGTTTTTTCTTCTTCCGCTTGGCTGCTGTGAGAAGTGCAGTGGACACCTGGTTACCCCCCCTCGTGGCTCTAGAACCCACTTGTGACTCCTCCTTCCTCACCAGAACCTTCTTGTACTTCAAATTGACCAGCGTGCATGTGCAGATGGGAAGTTGTAGGGGGATGCGTTTGATTAGGAACGACTCGAGTGTCACCATGGGCGAGTCTTCTTCTTCCGCTTGCGCATTAGAGGCGCCAGCTTTTGTCTGCTTCGAGATTTGACCGGCGTTTTGTTTGGAAGCACGATGAGAACCATTCCTGCTGCTATGCCATTCGTTCATCTGGTCGGTACACGCGTCGCTACGCGCTTGGCTTACGTGGCAACGACAAAGGTTAATTCGCGACACGTACTCACGAATGATTTGTATAATGAACACGTCCACATGAACACCCCTGCAGTGCTCACAAATAATAACCGTGTGATAATAATCATTCAGATACTCCTTCATCTTTCTCTTTAACGTTTTAATATTTCCCTTTGTGTTATAATGGTTGGGTGAACCCATGGGGGTGAGGCTAGGGTCGTAATTAAATTCATGGTCAAGGAAGTACTCACCCGTTTGTACGTATTTGTTTTCCTTCACCATGACTCGATGAGGATAACATGCTCTACATTTAACATTGTTCATAAGGTTTTTCTTTCCCCCCTTTTGTATAATTGTTCTTTCATGGAAAGGGTAGGCATGTTGTATAGAATCCTCCTCAGACATATCTCTCACTTGTTTATGGGTTCTGTGAGAGTGTCTTTTTTTTTTCAGATTCGCTAGCCGTTTTGAACAAACCCTAGTATAGTCTGAAGAAGAGCCTTCATAAAAGCTATTCGAAGTTTTACCCAAATTCAAATCGTCGTGACGACCATCATCCATGTCAGATGATTCATAATTTTCTGAAGAATATTTTAAAATTTCAATGAGGGATTCTACTTCTTCCATTTCTTTTTTTTTCTTCAACCTTGTTCCTGTATCTCCTCTTAGGTAATTTTTTCTCCCCGTCAACAAGGAGTAATTGTTACGTGGGTCGATGTTCTTATTGTAGCTTGTCTTCATTCTCCTTCTATCACTACTTATGTGTAGCGGGTCCTTCCTACTACATTCATGGCCTCCCCCATGAAGATACACATTATCGTCTTTACATCTTGCATGGTTAAGGTACTCTCCATTCTTATGTTTACTCCTACATGTGGGTACGTAATTTGTTTGTTTTTTTTTTTTTCTCCTATTTGTGCTTGTAAAACGTTCATACATGGTGCTGGACGAGGTGGAGTAGGATTCGTATGAAACGTCTTCTCCTGTTGATGCTTGGTCTGAGGACAGAGGGGAGTCATGGCACCCCATGTCATGTTGCCTTCTCTTTATCCTTCTCGTGGTGCTTCTATCTCTTTTTGAATCATATGCACCATGCGCACCACGCACATCACAGTGGTAGTAACGTCCATGCTTCGAAATTTCAACCGTCTGCGAGGAGGCATTCATGGTAGTTGTGGTCACTTGAACCTTTTTATTTTTTGAAGAATTGCAAGCGAGCATGATCCTCTTCATGCTACACTTGTTAATACCGTGCAAGTCTGTAAGGACTTCTCTGTTGACACTGCTACTCTCGTCCGTCTGGGTGCATTTTACAAGCAAGTTCACTTCCTCCGTTTGTGCTTCTGTGTGGGTGGTAGTCTTCGTTTCTTCTTCCGGGTTGACCCCTACGTCCGTTACGTGAATCACGTTCGGGTTCACCCCTACATCCGTTACGTTTATCACGTTCGGGTTCACCCCTACGTCCGTTACGTGTATCACGTTCGGGTTGACTCCCACATGTGCCACGTCAATCACATTCGTGTTTGTGCCTGAGTTGGCGAATGACCTGTTCTCATGCGTGTACACCTGTTTGCTTGTTGAGATTTTCTCCTCTGTGTTCACCCCTTCGCTAATGACATGGCGCTGGGGGATGTCTTCATCACATAATTTTCCCTTTCCCTGTGTTGGTATAGCCTGTGCAGCTGCTCCTTCCATGAGGTGCTTCTCCGTTTGGGTCGCCTGTGCAGCTGCTCCTTCCATGAGGTGCTTCTCCGTTTGGGTCGCCTGTGCAGCTGCTCCTTCCATGAGGTGCTTCTCCGTTTG